TCAAAATTTCAAGACAAAGGTAGTTAGTCTTGATTTATGCATGCTTCAGCTTAGGATGAAGAGAGCAGGACACAGTAGCAAAGCAATTAATTTTGATGCTGAAAACATTATTAATGGTAATGTTTAAAACATCAAAGCCCCGGCTGACAGAGACACAGCATCTCCCCTCTGAAAAGATGGAACAGATGAGCTCACTTGAGTCAGTCAAGGTGAGGCACAGGGGAAAATGTAATTTGTCTCTCCATTGATTTTCATTGAGATTTCCTGGAGAAGCTGTGGTTCAGAGCAGGTTAAACTCATGTACCTAGTGTCTGTGGTGTAGCAGCACTGGCCAACATATGTCTATTTTCCATCACTGGCTTGTTTATCTGTCTACATGCCACAAATGCATCATGCATTAGAGTTTTTTAAAACGTCAAAAGTTTATAGTGCATATAGTTGGCATGGGATAATTAGGAGGAGCCATTAGTTGCTCTTTACATCAGATGACTGAATTCAACCTTGCAGCACACGCTTGGACGTGGAGAGTAGGGGACAACAGAGGACACACCATCAGTTGGAATGTGTGAATCTCAAGTTCATAATGACTGAGTGGGCCTCCTCTATCTGTGTGTACTCCTCACTGTAGCTTTGGGCAAAGGGATAAAGCTTCTCTCACTCCCACATATTCATTTACCCCCCACCATCACACCAATTGAACCAGGGAGTCTGGGGGGAGCCACATTGAAATTCACTCCACATCTCCATCCCCCAGCCACAACCATCCCCACTGGAAACATTATTTCATTACATATATTATGCATGCAGCATAAGGGAGTTGGTGAATGTGCAGTGTGCAGATGTGTGTGTGGGGGCAAGCTTGGATGTTTCCTTCTATGTATACATGGCTGTGACAGCCTGTTGTAAAAAGAGTTTTAAAGAGGATGTAAAAAGATATAAAGCCTCAGGGGTCCAGTGTTAATGCTACTTAGTTTACTTTGTGAGAGAGAAGACAAAATATTTATTTCGTACTGTTTTGTGTCAACATTATAAAAGTGATTTTGCAATTTTTGCAATGCAGCGGGACAAAGTTTCCTGCAGAGTTTGCATGAATTTTCACTCTTCATTTGAGTGTGCGCGTCCACATGTGAATGCGTACAGTGTGTCATGCAGCGCGGGAGATAAAGAGATATGCAGAGAGAAAAACTGAGAAAAGAGACCAGAAAGAGATGAAGATAGAGACAGACAGACACACGTTTCATATGGCCCGCTGCTATTTTGGCCCTGGTCCAGATGTCACCAGAACAGTTTTTATTTGTTAATCAATTTTTTTAAAAAGCCCTCTTAAAAGCGGCTGCCGCACTTTCCCTTAAGTCTTTAAGTGGCTGCACACAAGACACTCTTGTCTGATCTGAACTGGAATCAATTTGGAAAAGAAACCCTTTCACCTCTGATTAAGCACTGCTCTGTCTCTACTGTGGCATGCTGACCTTTCCAGAGGTCTGTCTTGTGCTGCTAGGAGGGGCCAGCCAGATGATATGCTGGGCTAATTAAACTGATTGACGTCAGAAGGCAGGGCTTGAGAATGGCTTGGATTTGAACCCTCAGCCATTTGTCAGGACTCACAAACTCTATCTCTGTTGAGGGGCCTTTAGAGTCTCACAAGTCAGACTCAAAGCCTGATTTATCTCTTTGCAAATATCCCATCATGCTTTCTCCTTTCGTTTTCTGACATTCAATTCAATTAATGTTTCCCTCTGACTTCAGTGGCAATCAGAAATGTGACACCTGCCCAATGTCTTGTGATACAGTGAGCCTGGTGTGCACTCCTCTCTTGCGCCAAGCATTGCTTTATCCTTCAGTCACACATAAAACTTGAAACACTCAATTTTTATGAAAACGTGTAGAGTCACACCACTTATACATGTCATACTCAGGCCAGTCAGCTCCCAATCAGCCATTTTGCCAAATTCTGTCTTTGAAATGGCTGCATCTACAGTAACGTGTCTCTATGTCATCTGCGTGACTGCCACCTTCAGTCTCTGTATTCCTCATCAATATCCTCATCTCTCACTCTTTGCTACATTTATAGCAACTTAGGGCTCGTTCAGCTGTGTGTGTATGATGGGTTTGCGTAATATATAAAACATGGAAGTCCCCAGTGCTATAAAATGTTGCAAACCCAGAATGCTTTGAGAGAAGAGTTCAGAGGGAAGGAGTCCACCCGAGATCAGCCCTCAGTCTAAATTCCAAGCACTTTGCCTTATACACCCAGAGAAATGATGCCTAAAGAGAGGCCTGGTAGTGAGAAACCTCACCTCCAGTTCAAGCGGATTCCTCTGCTGTTTTATTTGTTCTCGTTTGGCTGCAGGGGGAACGTGCTCCACTCTGACCTGGGGGCACTCATCCAATCAGCTCGCTATCTGCTGCAAGGGCCTCCATAATAGTGACATTTTTCCACCTCGTCAATAAAGTGGTGAAAGCCACCCTCCATCCGCTACTTGACCATTTAACTTCTTCCTGAAAAGGCCCTTTCTTTCTGTCTGTCTCTCTGTGTCTAGCTGAAATCAATAAAAGCAGAGCAAGGAAAGAGGCCAATCCGCCGGCTACATTAACTGGTGGTCTCAACTGCTGTACAAAGAGGATGGCTGGCAGAGAAAAGGATACAGGAGAGCTGGCAGCTCGAGTCTTTCTCATTCATACAGCTGCGGGGGAAACCTGCTTCTTGTCTACACTCTATATTGTCGTCCAGTAACGACAAGGAGATTCTGAAAATGCTGAATGAAAGAATTCTGTCATTCACCGATACAACATGATGTGCACACACTTGTGTATCCTACTAGCCATAAAACAGCGTCTGCAGACTGAAAGATGACAATCACATGCAACACAACTGACATATACATTAACAGATGTAAACTTTCTAGTGTCTAATGATCATTTCCTTCCATGACTCATTTAGCAGCTGCATTCACACATCGCCCCATGTCTGCAGTGATTGACATAATGGCATCAGAGTGAGAACAAAATGTCTTCCAATAAACGAGCAGGAGGGAGAACATGAGAGAGATGGGTTACATCTATGCCCGTGCTGAAATGAGCGCAGTGCTTTGTTTGGTTATGCTGTCTGAGCTGAAATTGATTACTGTGAGAAGCACCAAAGAGCCCCAGCATTCACATGAAATAAATAACGCACTGTCTTAGAGATGGGAGGGTATGTGGAAGAGGGAACAGAAGGTGGAAAATGGGATAGGGGAGGAGGGAAGAAACAAAGATGGATGATGTCAAACAAATTTGCAAGGAGAAAAAAAAAAGCAGCGATAAGGAAGAAGGAAGTGGCTAAAGGTGGAGTACTGAATGACATGTCTTCAGTCTAGTACAGCACTAAAGACAGACAGCCTGGAAGACATCTGGAGTAGCAAAGAATAACAGCCACACACCACTCTCCAACCACAGACAACATGATGAGGGATTAAACTTCATTACAACATGTTATGGTAATGAATGGGCTGTGGCCAGTTCTGGATGTGTTAGAGTAATTACCACTCTCCAGTGTATGTGTGAGTGACACATGGCTTCCCACTGTTTGTGAAGCCATGTGTTTGTGAGTGCATGTCTGTGTACACTATGTGCTGATCATATTCCTGGGACTCCAGGTTTAGAGAAATGGATGACGCCTCAGAAACTACAGGAGGTCCTTTCCACCAGTGCGCTTAGCAGAAGCAACTGGTGTGGCTAATTAAAAGAATGCAACACTTAGGACAGCTACTGTCACATGTATCATCTCCCATAATTACATTGTTCTTTAATAGAAGATGGGCTGGGGCGGCCGCAGACTTTGTGGTTTGGGTCAGTGTCTGGGCATCTGTGTCTAGGGTAGATGCCAGAAAGGGAGAGGGACAGGCAAAGCCACACACCCCAGAGCGGTGAGGTTGACTCTAGGTCACAGAGGCTGCCTGGCCTTATGGCTGACAGATGTTAGTCTGGTTCAACAAGAGTTGTGATTCTGGAAAAAGTTACACCACACTGTGCTCCACACAGCAATTATCTTCTCTGTGTAAAAAAACATCTCATACATCATCACTCAACAAGACATAAGCAAAAACCCCTCCCTGAATTAGAAATCCTTTCATAAACCTTGCTTCTTGAATCTGCTGTCTAGTTGTACTGTACTAAAGTGTCCCAGAGTTTGCTGGCCTGTCAGTAGCATTTGTAATTGGCGCAAGGGCGTGTTTTTGCTGTAGACCCAAGGACAGGGGGCTGCGGTGGGTTATGTGCTGCTAATGTTGCTCATGATGTCCACAATGGTGTAACAAAGAGCTTTCATTTACAATATGCTTCAAAGAGTCATGAGGGAGACAAGGATGAGAGCCAGGGGGAAATCCTGTCCCCTGACTGCTCCTTGTTCCCTCTGGAACAGGGACATATTGTGGATAGGTGTCTCTCTGCACATTCCCAGCCTATGAACTGCCCTATATTTGCTCATGCTGGGATTCATGGTGTGTGTGTGTGTGTATTGGTCTATGTGTGTGAAACTGGGGCAAGGTCTGAGGTGGCACATTCCCCACAGTGGCATGTGGACAGGCAAGCACCGGGGCAGCATTAAGGAGAAATAATGTTTTCCCGCTAAGATAGGGGAGAAAGGGGACAATGCAATGACAGTGGTCCATTTGACTGGGATTGCCTGCAGCTTGCTAATTTATGCAAATTAATTTCTTGCCTGATGTGAAAGGAGAGGGAGCGGGTGCCACTGCCTGCCAAGCACTCAACATCGAGCAGCGAAAAAGGTTAAACTACTGCACTCTGCTTTGGTGGTCCGGAAAGTTTAGCAACACATGCCAGGAAGGGATGTGGTATACCAAGCAACAATGACAAAGCAACGCAGACTATGCCAGCCCTCTTCCTGCCAAGGCGGATAGACAGACAGCCAATCAGGTCCGTGCTGGCTCTCTTATAGGCGAATGGCATGGCATGCTGACCCTCTCGTCGCCCCGCCTCCCCTCCCCACTGCACTGCAGCTGCCCAGAATGATTTTATAAACATTTTGCCAGTGGATCAATACCTGTATTGATCAACCATTGTGAGAGTGATCCGTCTAAAACCCAGAGCAGCCTAGAGCTCAGAGATGGGAGGAGCGAAAGAGAGAGGCTGCAGAGAGGATGGAGAAAGAGAGAGAGTCTGCAGCCACAGTGAAAGGGAGAAGAGGTACAAGGGAAGAGAAGCGAATCTGAGGGAGAAGCAGACGCAGAGCTAAAGGTGTGGAGGCAGGTTTCGGACAACGCTGCCAGGCCACTGGGATTGTGGGAAAACCTGTGGTAATTACTTTCTCATTAAGGGAGGGATGGTGAGGGCGACTAATGACTACTGCTTTAAGTGTACGGGTAAGTGAAAGATGGAGAAATGTGTATGTGTACAACAAAGGGGTTGATTCCCACACCTGAGGTTGCTAATGCCAACTCTAGTTTGGCCTGCTATGTAGCAGGTTCAGGAACATTGTTGCATGTGCATTAGTGTGCATGATTGCATGATGTTCAAAGGGATTTAGCGTGTAGGGAGGTGGGGGATGCGGATGATGGGCGATTTAGATGTTCTGCAGAGAAAAAAATAACAATTATCATGCTTTATCTATCACTAATTATATTTTGATATTTTCTATTTTGTCTAGAAAAAAACTGGAGTGTCAAAGATTGGTTGTTTGCCTTGGTGACAACATGGGACAGAGAAGGCCCAGCACATACTGCGCTCATGAGTTCAGCTGCTACAGTAAAATTAAAATTCCTGACAAAATCAAAGACCACAAGGAATAGCCTGCATCCTGGAATCATTCAAAGATGAAAACGGCTGAAAATAAAGAGATTATTGCTGTTTTTAACTGGTTTGGATAAAGCTAGCTTTGGGATTTGTTTTTTTTTTTTTACATTTTGACAAGTCATTGGATTGGATTTAATTTTTATTAAATTTATTGGAGTTTTACTGAACAGACGACTGACTGGGCCACTCAACAACAGCAATGAATGTTTGATTCAAGGCCCCAAGCTGCGCCGGACTGGAGGAGGAGTTAAAAGGCTTTTGGGATCATCCCCCCAATGCTAAAGGGAAATCAAGTTTCCACTGATTGATTTTAAATGTGATTTCCTTGTGCATAATTGTGGATTTGAGGGAAGATATATTCCTCCAAACTGTGGGAGAGGACATTGATGCTCATAAACTCACTTTGCACTGGAGCTCTCAGAGAAGAAAGGCCTACATTCTACAGTTTGACTCCTCAGTTAACATGCATTCGAGTGAAAAGAAAATAATGAACATTCTGTACCAAGGACTCAAAGTACCTACATACAGTTTTGCTATATAAATTGTAAAACAAATTAAAAATTATTGTGGTGCACAATGCAAATCATGCACCACAGTGTGTGGCAGTACCATAGACTGTAGTACATATCCTTGGCTGTGTCCCAGTCCCACCCTGCATAATAATACAATAATAATGCACTGTGTATGTTTTAATAGCTTACTGTTTTGACAGTTAGTGTATGATACAAGATGTTCACCATCAGACTTCAACTAAACTGTGGAACTGCCATTTTCACATTAGGAGAAAAACAACAATAACCTGAAATGTTTCCCAAAGATTTGAAGACCACTTAAATGATTTACTTATTTTTGGTGTTGTTTTGTGTTCTCAGATGTTCCCAAAGTTGTCTCACAACCTTCCACACATCATACAAAAAATCTGGCAAATTTAGAATATATCATGTATGAATGTTTGAGCTCTTATGACTTATGTAGTGGTACTTCACTTGAGCTAGACTCATAAGGTGAATATTGTGCAGGTACAGTGCAAGTAATGGTAACCACAGAGACTCATTTTGTATTTAAATGAAAAGGAGGAAGATAAACTTCCCAGTGTAAGCCTGCTTGCTTCAAAGTCATTTAATGTATACAATACACAGATTATGTGCTCAGTGCAGCAACAAAAAATGTATCACTGACTGGTAAACTAAATTGAGTTTATCAATTGCAGAACGCTCTTTTTCAGTAGCATAGAAAAACATGAGAAAATTACAACTAATGGTCACAGGTGTGACAATCTGATCCAGATTCACGAAACCCTGATCAGATGTGGATTAATGTTAACAACAATTTGAACATCAAGAGACCCAACTATACGTAAAATGCAATGTTATTAAGCAAACACAAAATATTAGATTTAATAAAGAGGGGCAAATCAAATTGTTAATCTCTTTGCCTTCGTATGACTGTAGTCTAGCAGCATTGGAATATCTGCATATGAAGGCAGAACCTGCAGGCAAGGGACAAGATTTGGGTATTAGAAGTGTTCTGGTTTCCATTTGTAGACTGTTTGGAGTCCGAGTAGTATTGACCAATTATGTTTGAATGGGTTTTGCTTGCATGCAGTTAAACAGTCCATGTAGAGAGTAAAAGAGGCAGAATTCTTTGGCCAAAAAGCAATCCTGGAACCCATTGGCTATCGTCTGATGACCATTTAGCCTTTTATCAATCTCGGAACCCTAGAGACTAGCTTTTTCGAATGTATTTGCATTCAAATCATCAGATGATAGCCGATGGGTTCCCAGATTGCTAATCGGACTGTAAACAATGACCGGCTCACGGAAGAGGAAGTCTTGACCTGGATATCCGTTCTCCGGAAATACATTTCAAGCCCTGAAACATTGGTCTTTGCCCCCAGAGGCTAAATCGTCACCTGACAATAGCCGACATGTTCTGAGATTGAGCACTGATGAAAGAAAACCAGTGATACAAATAATGCTTATAAATTGTGCATTACCTGCATTACCTACTCTGTGCCATAAATCAGTTTATGCCATATAAAACCCATGGCTCACATTGTGTAAAAAAAATTTTGTGTATTTTTTAAAGTATATGTAGTCAATACATTAAAAGGCCCATTATTTTTGCCTGTTAGGATAATAAAACAAGACTGCATAGTTTTAAACATTAACACTAACCATTCCGTGTTATTACAAATATTGGTGCCTTACTACTATCTTTATTAGTTTAATTTCAAGGAGATAAACACACTATTCTTAAAGCTTAAGTGTTATCACTTTACACAAAGACTGAGCTCATGTGCTATCAAAGCAGCACTGACACACTGAATCATTTTCTTGTTCCCTTTCATCCCTTTTGTCTGATTCCTACTCTTAAAAACAAACCCTTGGATGAGTGCCAAACCATAAATTAGGATCTTCATTAGACACATCAAATCTAAATTACTTTTCAATTAACAGGCCAGTCAACCTGAACTAATCAACCAATTAGGCTGTGTGTTCACAGAAAAGCTAACAAAAGCACACGAGTCCCCTGGGAAAGCAGTAAAAACACTGCAGAAGAGTGACAGTGCAAATGAGAAGGTACTGGTTTAGGAGAGAAAGGGAGGATCAGAAAGTGGCAGAGGATACATGAGACGCTCAGATCACATCACTATTCACCCCTTCATTGTTTGGGAAATGAAACTCATAAGTTATAACAAATTATTTAAAACTTAAAGAAATTGTGAAAGAACAGATTCTCAAAGAAAGGTAAACATTTGGGGAAAGAAAAGAATGTATATGAGCTTTGATCAATTTGCATTGTTTAATGGGTATACTGTCAAGTTAATGTTTGTGACCATTATTTTTATGCTAATGAGTTTTGATTGAAAGGCATATTATTCTTCTGATGATAACTTGTATTGTGTTATCAGCTGGCACTGTTGCAAACTAAATGAACACTGGACACAAAAACCTACTAAAACCCTCCTAACTCCTCCTAAACCTAAACAGTTTGTTTAACTCAATTTGATTAAGGGAAATTGTATCAAAGCAGGTAATGTGTTTTTTTTTTCATGATTATCATGATATGGAACAAAATATGTGTTTTATATCTATATATTGTATTATCATTATTATTATTATTATTATTGTTACTGTACTGTCTGAGTCTCTTTGTGGAGGACAGAGGTTCACATTTACCAACTCCGAATGACGACTAGTTGGAAACACCGTCACATAATGTCTGAAAACTAATATTCATAAAGTACAATGAATTTATTGAATTCCCTCTGTCACTCCTCTGCAGTTCATGGCAGTCATCTTTGGCGAGGGCTATGGCAGAGTGAAAGGCTTTGTGATGCCCTATTCAGTGTGGTAGGGCTGCTGGGATGTCTGTGTTGAACATACCTTTGGGCCACAGGAGATCTGATAGGCAGCACAGGCTATTCAAACGTCTTCTTCACACACACGACAGAATGTAACCTAAGAGAGAAACCAACACACACATACCGAATAAAGCCAGACCGATCCTGGCTTTTCTTTTAGGTGGTTACTGATATTTGGAAGTTTTAAAATTTCAATGACAACATATTGGTCGACAAACAATGTTGATACGGATCCCTTCGATGTGTTTTTGTTATTGTAACCAAGATACATACTGAGTGAGGCATTTCTACCCCTTCCAGCCCTCACATCTAAAGGTCAGAGATCTGATGACGCTCCAGCAAAGGCCAAAGGGGGTTGTAGAGAGGAGAGCACCATTATTGTACTAGTAAATGTCAGAACAACCCTGTCTAATTGTGTTATTACTTATTCATGTTTATTAATGCAGTGATGTATGATGGCTCTACAGACAGACTGAGCTTGTCTGTGCCTGTCATGTATGGCTTATTCTTTGCTGGTGAAGGCTGCAGGGAGTGTGTTAGGGACTGGGTGGTGGGAGGTGGGTGTGGGGCATATGGTGCATGTAGTGACAGTGCCAAGTGGTGTGTGACTTTAACATGAAGGCAGAGGGGGTGAGGGAGTTGACTGATGGTGCTGGTGTCTTCTGCTGGCCCCGTGCCAGGGCCTATGGTCCCTAGTGTCCCAGCCCCTTGCTACCCCAGAGCCTCTGGGCAAGTACCACAGTTATTGTTTTCACTGCCAAGCAATTAGCGGCACTTAAGATTTATTTAGTCATGCTCTAATGTGTGGTAATTAGCTTGGGGCACAAACAAGCCCCACCATCCCATCACCTTGTCGCTCACATCGGAGCAATGCATCAGCAGGAGACAGTGAGGGAATGTGAGAGAGGAGGCAGGAGGTACAGATGGTGGGATCGTGAGGGGGGTGGTGGAGCAGAGCTAGAAGGATTACAAGAACACCAGCCCAGCTCTGTGGATCAGCACTTTTTAAGAGATCTTCAGGGGCCTGTTGGCTGAACGTATAGCAGGAGGAAAGGGCAAATACAGCCCAGTTACACTTTTATAGAATACTTTGTGGAAAAACACCCCTGACACACACCTCGGCCTGGCAGCCTGGTTTGTCATATGGCCCAGGGGGCTCTGCCGGCTTATCACATGACCATTGTAATGACCTTAAAGGGCAACCTCCTCAACAAGCTATGGCCACTCCCACTGGCTGGACTGCTCTTTGGGAAATGCAGTTTGGGTCACTGCATAATGTGTGATGCATTTGGCCCTCAGGCTGGAATAAAAAATAAAAAAACACAATGTAGAAACCAGGCCAAAGAGATTAAGCAAAAGCTGCCAAGCAGAGTAAAACAAAACAAGAAAATGCCAGACAAATGCTAGTTACTCTACTGTTGGTCCATAATGCTTTGGGGAATTTACATAATATACCATATGATATGAATGTGCAAGTTATGTCATAAATTTGCTGTAGGTGTCAGGGGTCCCTCCATTAAGAGACAGAGTTTGTGTGATTAGAGTTTCACTGATTTATTATTTGTTGGTGTGTAATGGTTTCAGCAATGTGCAGTGCTTTGGTTATAAGATTATATGCATCCTCTAGGTTCTATGGTCTATGTCACCTGTGTCAACTATAGTTTGGTTCTCAATACATTCATAGACCAGTGAGTGGTGATTTCCTAACCATTGAGGTCAAAGCATGAATTATATATTATATTCATTAAACAATACCAGGCTACCAAAAAATTTTAAGTCAGCGTACGTTCCCCCACTTTAGCGATATCCACCCACATCTCTATTGAAGCATGTACAGAATAATGTATGACTGCACTTTTTGAATAACGACATATGGAAGCTTAAGAATCAAGGCATGGTGTGTTATCACTAAAAGTATCTACTTGAACAAGAAATATCCTTTTCCTTTTGAGTGTACAGCAATGGCTCACAATACATGTGAGCAGATGAAGGTCAAAGGCAGGTTCAACTGCATATGCACATCTTATACATATGCATAAACAAAACCCATCAATCTTTGCTGGTTGGAGGGAGTGGGAGAAAATTTGAATCACTAAATATTAAACACAGCATGTGGAAAACTATACAGCGCATGCCTTTGATCATAAAAAACAGCAAAAAACTGCTGATGCAAGACATCAGACTAGCCATTTTTGTGTTTAGTGTTTGACTGGTAGATGCACTCTAATCATTGCAGAACTGGGCCTCTTCATGGAGCTATCACCTAAAATTGCTATGCATTCTGGAAGGGTGGTGCTATAAATGAAATATCACTTTCCATTTTATCTTCAGGGGTAACGTGAATGCTCTGAACCAATCAGAACCTCACAAGCCAACCCCTGACCTTTTTCATCTCAATATGACAACCATTATCTTTCAGAAAATTAGAAGCGTCTCGCTATTGTGCGGTAGCGTCAGGGGGTGGAGGTTATTTAAAGATAAATGCTCTAGTGTTCATGATCCATGCGGCAATCACACACCACCAACATGAAGCAAAGAGAGAGAGAAACATGTCTGCTAAAGCCATGTGGTTGCGTGTGTGCACATGCGCGCATGCTATGACTATGGCTGTGTGTAAATGGATTTATGTTTATTGTTCGGTGCTGATGTAGCTCTGCTCTTGCCTAGTAAACCTGTCTGTTGGTGTTGGGCAAGCAGGTTTCAGTGAATGCTTTTGTGTTATTATCTGAGCACTAAAATTAACTGCTTTAATGCACAATTTACAGCACAAATTTTGAAAGGAAAGGCAGATGATTATACAGCCTTGATTTCAGTGGTCTCCATAGGCAACTGGATCGCTACGGGCTGTCTTATAAACATAACTAGTGAGAGGGATAATTTCCTCCTGGTAACAAAGTCATAAGGTGACGAATGTGAATAGAGCTGATGTAGGACTGAAATGACATGACAACATGATGCTGTGGGTGTGAAAACTAGCGGAGCAGCCGTTGGCCTTTTTGCACACTCTCCCACAGAGGTAGACACAGTACACCTATGAGTCACACACACATACACGTTTGCCAAGAAATATATTGGGCACACTTCTTTGTTAAGAAATCATTTTTTATCTCTTTCATGTGCCAGTCTAAGCAATATTTTTGAAGATTAACAATATATTTAAAAGCAAAAATCTAAAAATATTTAATCTGTTAATTATACTTGTTCACAGATGTGAGCTATGGGGCATTGAATCATTCTCAAAACAATGTATATTATACCATGTTTCATTGCAGTTCTGAAATGCATACATTTCAAATGAGCATGCTTATACTGAACCACTAATGTCACAGATTAAAAACAGAATGCATCTTTTAACCTCTTAACTTTCACTGTTTGCTAATAACCATGTACTGTATATACAGTTGGAATTATAGTTTTATGGTGAGAAGCACCACCTAAATTCTTATTCCAAAAAAGTCAAAAACAAACTTTCAGTCATTGAAATGTCTGTCTTAGTCTCATTTTGACTAATCTCCACACAGTTTTTTCGTGGTGTGCCATTTCTCCTGGAAGAGGAGAGATGGTAGTACCCATTTGTTCGTTTTGGGTAATCAAGAATCTGGTTAGTCAAGGGCAGGCCTCTGCTACAACCTTGAAAAAATTAGTTATAGTATTCTTCCACAAATGTTCCTTTCAGATGCCAAATTTTCTAAATAAATCCTAAAATTATCTATAGAAGTACCAGGGAAGGCCTTCCTTGCTTGTCGCAGTGGGAGAATCCTCACACAACTGCTGTGCAATCAAAACCAAACGTGTTCCATTACAAACATGTAACTTGTTAGCTTGAAGCATAGCACAGCTAGAAATAACCTCTGCATATCTGCTTTCTGATCTGATGTCCCTCAGTATGTGTCTCTGACAGTTCAGTATAAATTGACAAAATCTAAATTTGATTTGAGAAAATGGAATTTGAAACATTTGTGACAATGTACCCACAATAATTACAGTCAAGTTCAAGCATCCATTTTTTTTATGAAGCCTACCCCGTTCCATTGCTGTAAAATAATTATCTTATTGGTTAAATATGCATGAAATATTCAAATTTAATTAAATTAAATCATACACCTTTGCTGACAATTCTATACATTCTGTGGCAGGAACGTTGTCGTGTTTGCAGTTCCAAATGAACCTGAACAGTATGACAACAGCTTCAGAAAATCTTCTATCTTGCTCTTGGTTACTCTTAAAAGTAGTAACTAACCAGGAGTTTGTGAAAATACTATATATTAAATATGGGAGTACCTTGGAGTGTGGTATTTTGTTTAAATCCACTTGTTACATACCACTGTTACATTGAACAATATCAATAACTCGGCATCTCGGATTAAAAACAAGACCTGTGAAACAAAGGTATTTCAAACACACTTAACTGGCCTTGTTGTAGACTGCTGTTTTACTAAAAAAAATTAAAAGAAAATATCACTTCGAATTACAATTTGTTCTAATTGTCTATGGCTCAGTATGCTTCAGGGTTGACTCTAAAAATCATGAGAAGGAGCCTTTGACAATTTATTCTTATAATCAGAGCAATATTATCAGTAAACAAACCAAATGATACCAGTTTCTAGGGCTTTGTCATATTTTTGTAGTTTTAGCTTCCTTAACAATGGCAAAATGCATAATAACCAATATGTTAAATCTGCACTGTTAGGGGTGAGAATTAAACTGACCATGAATTTGCAGTAGTTCTGCTGAAGGATGTGCAAATGCTTCCCTGAATCTCATAAAACAGCAGGAACTGGCAGTTCTATCCAACATATGTCAATAGCAGGATATGCTTCCTAAATAAATGAATATATTAAGAATTTTTTTTTTCACCTCCAACATTAGTTATTATCTATTATGATGGATGCGTAATGTTAGAGAGGGTCACAGGATAGACCTGCTTTAAATGCTATATTTCCATGATTGGTTCATTCTCTCCATTTCCTGTTCATTGTGTACGAGCAAACTCTATTGTCTGTGGGTAGATTCTGCTCGGCCCTCAGAGGGGCCATCCCCAGGGAGCACTGCATCTTTTATTAATCAGGGGCACTGTGCCACAGCCCCGCTTATCTAATTTAACAGCCCGACTCAGATACAACTATGTTGGGTTTGGTGTGGAAAGAAGGGACAGTGGTATGGGGGTGCAGTTGGGTGTAGATAGGATGGGGGCTGGGGTGCTTCCTTCATTTTTTCCCATATTGCGGGTGATGTAGGGGGGATGCGAGGGAGCAGGGGAGACAGAGGGGAGGTAGCGACTTATCAGACACCTCGTCACCAAGTTTTAGGACTGAATCACAATACAGCAAATTACCTTCTGCTGACAAGAAAAAATGAGCATGGCCCCCATATGAAAAAAATAGGATTGTCAGGAAGAGGTG